GGCGTTGACGACGGCGTGCCGCGCGCGAGAGAGCTCTGGTCGGCCTCGCCCGGGCGGCGGGGCCTCGGCTTGCGCCCAGCGGGGGGGGGGCGAGGGAGGGGGAGGGGAGCGCGCGAGGAGGGGGGACGAGGAAGGGAGGAGGGAGGGAGCGCGCGAGGGAGGGAGGCGCGAGGGAGGGAGGGGGCTTGGCCCGCGGGGGGGCGAGGGAGGGGGGAGGGGTGAGGGGGTGGGGGGGTGGGGGGGACGAGGAAGTGGAGGATGCTGCCAGCGTGGTTCAGGCGATGCATTCGCGACGGGTCGTGCATTCGCGGCGGGGGTGTGCATTCCCGACAGGTCCCGTTTCCATGGGAAATCGCGTATCTCCAGCCGAAGGAGGCAGCAATGGCCGCATTCTGGGGAGGGCGCCTCCCCCGATCCATGGATTGAGCGACCGCGCGCCAAATCCGTGGATCGCTAATCCATGTTTGCGCGCCCCCGAGAGGTGGAGGATGCTACCAGCGTGGAACATGTTCCTATCCCTAGGAGTTGCATCGCCTCCTTTCGATGCCGATCTGAAGGTCTCCCTCAGGTTCTGAGGGGACACCCCTACTCCCTACGATTTGCATCGCCTCCTTTCGATGCCGATCTGAAGGTCTCCCTCAGTTTCTGAGGGCGGCACCCCTACGATGATTGTCGTCCTTTCGTCTCGAGGTCGAGGGAGGGGTTCCTCCTCCTCCTCCTCCTCCTCCTCCTCCTCCTTTTCATTTTCCTCCTCCTCCTCCTCCTCCTCCTCCTCCTCCTCCTCCTCCTCCTCCTCCTCCTCCCCCTCCCCCTCCTCCCCCTCCTCCCCCTCCTCCCCTGGCTCGAGGCTGGTTAGGATGGGGAGGCAGGCGGGGCGCGCAGAGAGGGCGGGGGGAGGGCGCGGGCCGGAGAGCGGACCCCGCGGACGCCCCGGCCTGTCGCAGGCCGCGAAGGCCCCTCAGCCTCCTCCTCCTTCCCTCCTCCCTCCTCCTTTTTCCTCTCCTCTCTCCTCCTTCTCCTCCTCCATCCTCCTCCTCCTCCTCCCCCTCCTCCCCCCTCCGCCTCTGCTCCTCCTTCGATTGCAGCTGGGCCGAGGCGCCTCCAGAGGCAGGGCTCGTTTCGATTCCTCCGATTCGATTCGATTCGACTTCGATGGATTCCGATTCCGATTCGATTCGACCTGGGATTCCGATTTGGATTCCGATTTCTTATTGGAGGCATACTAGCCTGCCGATTTCCGCCGATTCGACTTTTCCCGATTCGGCTGCCGATTTCCGCCGATCCGATTCATGTCGATTGCCGATCCGATTTATCGATTCGATTCTGGGCTCTCCTGCAGAGGAGTGGCACCTGCCCTCGTGTGCTGCCCCCAGACCGCTCCCTCTCTCCAGGGCGTGTGATTGCCTCCACAGAGGGGGGCGCTCCGAGCCGCTACAGGAGAGGAGGGAGCGAGGCTCGGCATCGCTCGGACGGGTGCACTTCTTCCCGGCGAGGGTCATCGAGGAACAGCCTGGGCCATCCCGAGAAAGGTGCACGCACGAGACCGAACGATGCACGGGGAATGGACGTCCGAGCCATGGCGAGGAGGGGGGCCGCGGCGAGGGGAGGGCAGGCGGGAGCCTGAGGACGCGAGGGAGGGGCCATTCAGGAGGCAGGCCCAGGGACGGACGGGAGGGAGCCGCTCGGGGCTGAAGGGGCGGGAGTCATGCAAGCGGGGGGTCACCAGACCTTGCAGGATCCTGCAGGTCTCCTCCTCCTCCTCCTCCTCCTCGTCCTCTTCCTCCTCCTTCTCCTCCTCCTCCTCCTCCTCCTCCTCCTCCTCCCCCTCCTCCTCGTCGCCGTCGTCGTCGCGGTCGTCGTCGTCGTCCTCCCCTCCCTTCCTCGCTCTCCTCCCTCCCTCCCTTCCCCTCCTCCCCCCCCCCCCCCCGAAACATAGCTCAGCGGCCACGTGCCCCCGCTGTGAAGCGCCGCTGGTGGCCGTGGTGTTGGCGAGGAGCCTTCGCCGGGTCTTGCGCGCTGGCCGGCTTCGCGCGCTCGCCCCCGCACTCTGGACGCCCGAGATGGGCACGGAAAGAATGGGTACTATGCCCAACAGCAGTTCCTGTTCATTTTGAACAAGATCCGCTGTCCACGCCGCCGCGGCCTGCGTCCATTCGAGACAGAAGGCCGCCTGCCCGACAGCGGCCGCTGTTGGTTTGGGACAACATTTGTTGTTGGGCATCGTGCCCATTCTTTCCGTGCCCATTTCGGGCGTCCGAACCTGCACCCGCCGAGGGCGCGTCAGTCAGCTCCGCTGTGGCCTCGGTTTTTGGTTTCGACTGTGCTCGTCGTGGCGTCGGCCGTCGCGAGCCTTTGAGGCGTGTCTGGGGCGCGCCCGGCTCTAGCGCAACATTTTCGAGCGCAACACGTCAAGCGCAGCATTTCGCGAGGTATCCCTCTTTCGCGCATTTTGTCTTCGAGCACGCGATGTCCAGATTGCGATTCAGGTCTTGTGGCTTCGGTTGTTCGTCTTGTCGCGGATCATCGAAGCTTCGGGCTCGTGCCTTTTGAATGCGTATGCGTGTGCGCTGCCCCCTCTTGTTCCTCCTCCTCGTTCTTGTCCTCCTCGTCCAGTCCCGCTCCCCTCCCCCGTCTGGCTTGTGGCACTCATGTCGTCATTCCTTTCTCCAGGCCATAGATTATCGTGCCTGTGGCAGGTCGGCCCGTGTGGCGATCCCAGTCTGCCTGGCGGTCGTCTGCTCCACCTGACTGTGCCAGTCGCGCCGTAATGTGAGTCGGTGATTGCGCGCTCCAGGATCTTGCAGGATGCCCTCCTACTCCTCCTCCTGATCCTCCTCCTCCTCCTCCTCCTCCTCCTCCTCCTCGTCCGCCTCCGCCTCCTCCTCCTCCGCCTCCGCCTCCTCCTCCTCCTCCTCCTCCTCCTCCTGCTCCTCCTCCTCTTCCTGCTCCTCCTGCTCCTGCTCCTCCTCCTCCTCCCCTCCCCCCCCCCTCCTCTCATCCCCCTCCCCCTTTTCCCCCTCTACTCCTCCTCCTCCTCCTCTTCCTGCTCCTCCTGCTCCGCCTCCTCCTCCTCCTCCTGGCACCTGTGCCACTGGGGACCCCTTCCCAGAAAAACAGGCGGGCAGCAGCCCGATCGTCACCCCCTGCGCAGGGCCCGCGAGGGCCTCGGGCCTCGCGGCGGGCGTGCGCTGGTGCCCGCCGCCGCGCGCCGCCGCTGGCCGCTGGTGCGCTGCTGCCCCCTCCCCCTCCTCCTCCTCCTACGCCTACCTCCTCCTCATCATGCTCATCCTCATCCCTCCTCCCTCCCTTGTCCCTCCTCCTCCCGTCCATCCTCCCTCCTCTCATCCTCATCCTCCTCCTCCTCCTCATCCTCCTCCTCATCTCCTCCTCCCCTCCTCCCTCCCCCTCGCCGAGATTATGATGGGCCTTTCCACCACCACCATAAGTTGGAGAGGGGAGGAGGAGGGAGAGAGAAGGAAGGGGAGGAGGAGGGGAGGAGGCAGGAGGAGGAGGAGGAGGAAGAGGGGGAAGGAGGAGGAGTGAACAAAGAGGAACAAGGAACGACAACGAGGAGACTGAGGAGGAGGAGGCGGAGTGGAGGAGGAGGAGGAGGAGGAGGAGAGGAGGAGGAGGAAGGAGGAGGAGGAGGCGGAGCGGAGGCGGAGGCGGAGGCGGGAGGCGGCGGAGGAGGGAGGGAGGCGGAGGAGGAGGAGGAGGAGGAGGAGTAGGAGGAGGAGGAGGAGGGAGGAGGAGGAGGTGAGGAGGAGGAGGAGGAGGAGGAGGCGGAGGGAGGAGGGAGAGGGATGAGGGAGGAGGGAGAGGGAGGAGGAGGAGGGAGGAGGGAGGAGGGAGGGAGGGAAGGATGGGAGAGGAGGGCAGGAGGAGGAGGGAGGAGGGAGGAGGGAGGAGGAGGCGGAGGAGGGAGGAGGCGTGAGGAGGGAGGAGGGGAGGAGGGAGAGCCGGAGGAGGGAGGAGGGAGGAGGGAGGAGGAGGATGGAGGAGGAGGGAGGAGGAGGAGGAGAGGAGGAGGAGGAGGAGGGAGGAGGAGGAGGAGAGGAGGAGGAGGAGGAGGAAGGAGGAGGAGGAGGAGGAGGAGGAGGAGGAGGAGGAGGAGGAGGAGGATCCCCTCCCCCTCCAACTTGTTGTGGTGGTAATGTTGGAAAACAGGCCCATCAGATTCGGCCCTCCCTCTCTCAGTGCACTCGGGCCGAGGTAGACGATCGAGGTCGGTCCTTGGAGGGTGCGGGTGCTCCAGTGCTCCTCGTGCTTGTTGGATGTTCTCGTGCACCCTGAATGCTTTCGGATGTCCTGTGTGTTGTGGCCGACGGAGGGTCTCATGTTCTTGAAGGATGTTTTTATGGCCTAGGTCTGATGTGTCGTTCAAGTGATCCCAATGTCCCCATCCCTATCCAGACCCCCACCATCTCACCCCACCGCTCGGGGATGTATCCCTCGGAACCCGATGGAACTGGTGCATGTTTCCATCTAGGAGGGTGTACATCGGCCAGTGGGGCCCAGGCCACGCCGTTGGGGAGAAGGGGTCGGACAAATGATGTTCAGCCTCCCCCTCGTTCTCCGAAGTCCTCTCACCGGCCCCTCCCAGTCTCTTCTTCCCTGCCACGCTTGCCGCCGCCCGCCTGCTGGTCCGCCGGCTGTCTGCTTGCTCGCCGCCTGCTTCCCCTGCTGTCGCCCCTGCCTCCCTGCGTTCGCTCGCCTGGTCACCCGCTGCCAAGTTCGTTCAGGGCCCGCCGATGTCAGCCGAAAGTGGGAGGGACGTGTTCGAGAATATAATGTCGCCCGGGCAGATCATGTGACGTGCGCATGTTGACAGGCAGGGGGGACTCGGCTGCTCGCTTGCTGGCATCAGCTGCTGCCTTTCGGCAGCGGTCACCGTCGAACTCATCCTTTCAGCTGCTCTCCCGCGCGCACTTGCCCGTCGACCTGGCTCCTCCTGCTCGGTGTCGTGCGCCTCACTCGTCCTCTGTTCCACTGCGCCGGAGATACCGACACCAGCGACGCCAGGGAGAAGATGGAGGGTTCGGTCACTCCACCCCCCCTTCTCCTCCTCCGTTCTTGTTCCCCTCCCCCTCCTGCTCCTCCCCTCCTCCGTTCTTGTTCTCCTCCCCTCCTCTGGTCTCTTCTTTCTTGGTCTCCTCCTTTTGTAGGCAACCCCGACATTTGGGAACCCCCAAACCTGGTGGTGAGATACCAGGTGGCGACCTGGAATCCCCAAAAAGATCACCGCTGGTTTTGGGGACGCGGGGTCACCACCGGGTTTTGTGACTCCTGGACCCACCAGTGTCCGGGACATCCTCGGAACACCGCACGAGTCCCCAAACCGGGTGGTGACACCAAATCTTTGGACGCCCGAAATGGGTACCGAAAGAATGGGCACTATGCCCAACAACAAATGTTGTCCCAAACCAACAGCAGCAGCCGCTGTTTGGCAGGCGGCCTTCTGTCTCGAATGGACACAGGCCTCGGCGGCGTGGACAGCGGATCTTGTTCAAAATGAGCAGGAACTGCTGTTGGGCATCGTGCCCATTCTTTCAGTACCCATTTCGGGCGTCCAAAAAATCGCCCGAGACTCGCCGCCAGGTGTTGTCACCACCACGTTTGGGGACTACCAAGACATTCCGCCCCTGCACGTTTTTTTTTTTTTTTTTTTTTTGTTTGGTTTTTTATGTAAAAAAAATCCGCCCCTGCACGTGTGGCGTCCGAGAAGGCATGCCAAGCAGCAAGAGGCAGGCAGCAGGGAATGGCCCGCGGCGCGACGCCCCGAGCGGGAGGGCAGGGATGCGAGCAGAGGGCGCGAGGGCGGCAGAGGCCGCGGGGCCGAGGGCCCCTCCTCGATCCTCCTCCTCGTCATCACCCCTCCCAGTGCTCCTCCGCCTCCTCCTCCTCCTCCTCCTCCTCCTCGCTCCTCCTCCGCACGGCCCTCCTCGTCCCTCTCAGTCTCTCCCCTTCCTCGCTCCTCGCCCCCCCCTTTTCCCCTCGCTTCCCTCGCTCTCTCTCCCTCTTCTGGCCCTTCAGGCCCTCGCTGCCTGGCGCTCCGGTGGGCTTTGCCCAGAGGGAGACCAGGCGGGCGTGCCCCCTGGGGTGGCTTGCGGGGGGTGGCTGCCGATCGGCCCCCGGGCTGCCGCACTTCGCTGCCTCGACACGCCCGCTTCGAAACGCCATACGTCCCGTGTTCAAGACGTCCTTGTCAATACGTTGCGTGTTGGCTCCACGTATTGGACCACGTGTTGGCGAATGTATCGCGTCGGACCTACGTTTTCAGCCGACGTGTGGAGCTCCGTATCGAAACGGTACGTGTTGCCTCGGGCCTGTCCCTCTACAGGAGGAAAATTAAGAATTTTAGTAAGAAAATAGTCTGGGGGCGATTTTTCGATTATTTGAAACGTATTTTTCCACAGTTTGACTATTTTTGATTTTCCATGCAAAATCCTCTTGTGCGAGGACGCGCCTGACCGAAGATTGGGCGCGCCGGTCCACATATTAGCATAGGGGAAACGGTCTTGAGGGAAACGGGTCCTGGACCCTGGGGCTTTCCCTCATGACCAGATCTTCATCCTGAGGCGTTTTCTGACAGCCCCGGGGCCCGATGCGGAGCCCACGAGCATGACACAAGATCTGCCCAACATTGTATCGTTCATTGTTTTTTGACAGGGATGGTGGGGGTGTTGTCATTGGTTCGGGTTGGCTTCCGGACCCCTGGGGGATTTTTTTTTTGTTTTAAAAAAATATATGTTGCAACATCAAGCAGCCATGATAACCCCTCCCCCAAAGGGAAGAAGGGGGTTGGAAGAGGCAACCCGCTAAAAAGAGCTGGTGGAATTTCCCCCCTTCTTCCTCCTCCTGGCCTGTTCCCTGCTGCCGCCTCCCTCCTTCTTCTCATCCCTCCCGAGACCCTTTTTCTTTCACCCGCAGCGGAGACGGCAAAACTCAGTGGGAACGACTGCTCATCTCGCCTAGAGATGCTGCGACTCGTTCTACCTCTCCTCCTCTCCTCCACCCTTCCCCGCTCGTCCCTCGTCCCCCCTCCTGCCCTTACACCGTTTGGGGTCGGCAAAGAGGGGGGTGATGACTAGGGGAGGTGGATCTCATGGCGGGGGCCATGATATTTTCCCAGATTTCATGGCGCCCCTTCTTATTTCATTACGTCCCCAGCGCCGCCCCCTGGGCCGCGCACGTGCCGATGGCCATGATTTTGCACCCCCCCCTCTCTTGGACGCCCCCCTCTTGGCCGCTCCCGACACCGTTCCTGGGCACGCGTCGCCTGCACGTGCAAACTGCGTGTGGCATGCTGCTCGCCTGCGCACTCTCTCTTGGCCCGCCGGGGCCGCCGGCGGCGCAGGGAGGGAGGTAGGGGGAGGGGGAGGGGGGGAGGAGGAGGAGGAGGAGGAGGAGGAGGAGGAGGAGGAGGAGGAGGAGGAGGAGGAGGAGGAGGAGGAGAGGCCGGGAAATTGTGGAGTCGCTGTGGGTTCCAGACGAGTTTTTACGATCTTTCACGTTGCTCCTCATCATTACCCTTACCATTACCATTTCCATTTCCATTTCCATTTCCATTTCCATTACCATTACCATTACCATTACCATTGCCACTACCACTACCACTACCACTACAACTACCACTACCACTACCATTACCATTACCTTTACCGTTCCCATTCCCATTACCATTACCATTGCCATTGCCAGTGCCAGTACAATTGCCATTGCCAGTCCATTCCCATTCCCATTCCCATTCCCATTCCCATTACCATTACCATTACCATTGCCATTGCCATTGCCATTACCATTACCATTACCATTACCATTACTATTACCCTTACCATCACCATTACCTTTACCTTTACCTTTACCTTTACCCTTACCCTTACAATTCCCATTTCCGTTACCACTACCACTACCATTTCGATTCCCATTCCCATCCCCATTCCCATTCCCATTCCCATTATCATTACCATTACCATTACCTTTACAGTTACCTTTGCCATTACCATTATCATTACCATGGCCATTACAATTGCCATTGTCATTCCAATTGTCATTGCCATTGCCATTGCCATCACCATTACCGTTGCTTTTGCCATTGCCATTGTATTGCCATTGCCAGTCGCTACCCCGTTACCATTACCATTACCATTACCAATACCATTACCATTACCAGTACCATTACCATTACCACTGTCATTACCATAGCCATTGCCATTGCCATTGCCATTAGCCACTACCATCACCATTGCCATTGCCGTAGCATTACCAGTACCATTGCCATTACCATTACCTTTACCTTTACCATTACCATTACCATTACCCGCTGCCATTACCATTACAATTCCCATTCCCATGCCCATCACCATTGCCATTACCATTACCGTTACCGTTACCAGTACCATTACCATTACCATTACCATGGCCATTGCCATTGCCAATTCCATTGCCATTGCCATTCCCATTGCCATTGCCATTGCCATTACCATTGCCATTGCCATTGCCATTGCCATTGCCATTACCATTACCGTTGGCATTGCCATTGTCATTGCCATTGCCAGTCGCTACCCCGTTACCATTGCCATTACCATTACCATTACCGTTACCGTCACCATTACCATTACCAGTACCATTATCATTACCATTACTTTTGTCATTACCATTATCATTACCATTGCCGTTGCCATTGCCATTAGCCACTACCATCACCATTGCCAGTACCATTACCATTCCCATTCCGATTCCAATTCCCAATACCATTTCCATTACCATTTCCATTACCATTACCACTGCCATTGCCTTTACCTGTACCATTACTTTTACCTTTACCTTTACCATTACCCTTTACCTCTTCCTTACCCTTTACCTTTACGGTAACGACAATGGCAATGGCAATTGCGATTCCCATTTCCGTTACCACTACCACTAACATTTCGATTCCCGTTGCCGTTCCCATTCCCATTCCCATTCACATTCTCATTCCCATTCCCATTCACATTACCATTACCATTACCATTACCATTACCATCACCATTACCATTACCATTACCATTACCATTACCATTGCCATGGCCATTGCCATTGCCATTGCCATTGCCATTGCCATTGCCATTGCCATTCCCATTACCGTTGCCATTGTCATTGTCATTGCCATTGCCATTGCGAGCCCCTACCCCATTACCATCACCATTACCGTTACCAGTACCATTACCAGTACCATTACCATTACCTCTGTCATTACCATTACCATGACCATTACCATTACCATTACCATGACCATTGCCATTACCAGTACCATTACCATTACCAGTACCATTACTGCTACCAGTACCATTACCATTACCATTACTATTGCCATTGCCATTACCACTACCACTACCATTTCCATTCCCGTTCCCGTTCCAATTCCCATTCCCATTCCCATTTCCATTCCCATTCCCATTACCCTTACCATTACCATTACCATTACCATTACCATTACCATTACCATTACCATTACCTTTATCATTACCATTACCATTACCATTACCATTACCATTACCATTACCATTACCATTGCCATGATCATGACCACTGCCATTGCCATTGCCATTGTCATTGCCATTCCCATTGCCATTGCCATTGCCATTACCATTACCGTGGCCATTGCCATTGTCATTGCCATAGCCCGTCGCTACCCCGTTACCATTACCATTACCGTTGCCATTATCATTACCAGTACCATTACCATTACCACTGTCATTACCATTACCATTACCATTACCATTACCATCCCCATTACCATTGCCATTGCCATTGCCATTGCCATTGCCATTCGAGGATTTTACGTAGGAATCATTCAGTGGAGGGTTTCAGTGGTAATCCACATGTGGATGATTCCAGTAGGAATCATTCAGTGGAGGGTTTCGATAGGACTCATTCTGTCGAGGATTTCACTATTAATCCTTATTGTGGGGTCGTTCAATAGGAATCCTTCTAGGGGGGAGGGCAGATGAGGCCACGTCGCGTTCCTTTTTTTCCGCCGACCCCCCCCCCAAAAAAAAGGGG